ACACCTCAGTCATATCCTCCCTAACTATACGCCTTTCTAGAGAGTGCAGATTCAGGGCCCTCAGTCTATCCTCATAGGAAAGATTTCTGATACATGGGATCAACTTCGTCATCCTCCTTTGTACGTTTTCCAGAGCATTTGTATCCATTCTGTAATACGGTGACCAGAACTGTGCAGCATAATCTAGATGAGGCCTAACCAAGAATATATAGAGTTGAAGAACAACCTGAGGACTCCTATTATTTATGCTTCTCGATATGAAGCGAAGGATTCTGTTCGCTTTGTTGTGAACTTTTATTCACTGTTGTCTTGGTTTCATATTACTGCTAACCAGAACTCCCAAATCCTTTTTGCAATCCGTAATATTAAGATCTACATTATTTAGTTTATATGTGGCATGGTTATTTACCTGTCCAATGTTTAGCACTTTGCATTTGTCTATAATACACTGCATCTGACACTACTCCGACCACTGCATCAGTCTATTCAAATTTTCCTGGAGTGCTCTAATGTCCTCGTCAGAATGAATTCGACGGCCTATTTTGGTGTCATCCGCAAACTTGCTAATGTGGCTATTTATTCCCTCATCTATGTCGTTTATGTAGATTGTGAACAACAAGGGGCCTAACACTGACCCCTGTCGAACACCACTCGTGACGCTTCCCCACTCTGATTTCTCCCCATTTTTGCAAACTCTCTCCTGCCTACTTGTCAACCATGCCTCTATCCAGGAAAAAAATTCTCCTCCTATTCCGTGTGCCTTAATTTTCCTCAATAGTCTCTTATGTGGGACTCTATCGAAACCCTTACTGAAGTCCATATATACAATATCATATTCATTACCATATCATATTCGTAAGGCAGGAACGCCCTTTTGTAAAACCGTGCTGAGATTCGTTGATTAATTTATGCTTTTCAAGATGGCTACGAACTGCCTCGGCAATTACTGATTCCATAAACTTCCCCACTATGGAGGTTAGGCTTATTGGTCTATAGTTCGAAGCTAAGGACCTGTCACCTGCTTTGAAAACAGGTATTACATTTGCCATTTTCCACTTATCTGGCACCATGCCAGTTTGTAGTGATATGTTGAAAAGATTAGCCAAAGGTTTGCTAAGTTCCTCTTTACATTCCTTTAGAATCCTTGCAAACAGTTCATCAGGGCCTGGGGATTTGTTCGGTTTTAATTTAACTATTTGTCTAAGGACCATGTCACTTGGACCCAACATTGACCCCTGTGGAACACCACTCGTAAAGCTTCCCCACTCTGATTTCTCCCCATTTTTGCAAACTCTCTTCTACCTACTTGTCACCCATTCCTCTATCCAGGAAAAATTTTCTCCTCCTATTCCGTGTGCCTTAATCTTCCTCAATAGTCTCTGATGTGGGACTCTATCGAAACCCTTACTGAAGTCCATATATACAATATCATATTCATTACCATATCATATTCGTAAGGCAGGAACAATATATATATATATATATATATATATATATATATATATATATATATATATATATATATATATATATATATATATATATATATATATATTTATATATATATATATATATATATATATATATATATATATATATATATATATATATATATATATATATATATATATATATATATATATATATATATATATATATATATATATGCAATAAGATCACATTAAACAGGTGATTTCAGAATATGCAAAACAACCACTGTGAATGAATAGAGAAGTTCCAAGCGCTTTCGTGACTACTCACATTATCAAGGAACAGTGAAAGTAAAGCATCAACGGAAGGTATATAAAGGGGTAGCCCACACCTCACTATCAGATCCCACAACAACAAAAACACTTGACGCGAGACAGCAGGCCCGCCAGCCGAACTAGACAGGTCCTTCATACAACCCATTTCTTGGGTAGAATAGTTTGTTGGTGGGTTGTATGAAGGACCTGTCTAGTTCGGCTGGCGGGCCTGATGTCTCGCGTCAGGTGTTTTATTTGTTGTGGGATCTGATAGTGAGGTGTGGACTACCCCTTTATATACCTTCCTTTGATGCTTTACTTTCACTGTTCCTTGATAATGCGAGTAGTCACGAAAGCACTTGGAACTTCTCTATTCATTCAAAGTGGTTGTTTTGCTTATATATATATATATATTATATATATATATATAATATATATATATATATATATATAATATATATATATATATATATATATATATATATATATATATATATATAAATATATATATATATATATATATATATATATATATATATATATATATATATATATTATATATATATATATATATATATATATATATATATATATATATATATATATATATATATAATATATATATATATATATATATATATATATATATATATATATATATATATATATATATATATATATATATATATATATATTATATATATATATATATATATATATATATATATATATATATATATATATATATATATATATATATATATATATATATATATATATATATATATGTCGTGCCGAATAGGCAGAACTTGCGATCTTGGCTTAAATAGCAACGCTCATCTTGCCATATAGGACAAGCGAAAATTTGTGTATGCAATAATTTCGCAAAAATCATTCTGAACCTAACGAAAAAAATATATTTCACTGTGTTTGTTTAGTATTAAATTATTGTAAACAAATCTAAAATATATTTAGTTGGGTTAAGCTAAAATAAATTGCTCTTGTTATAATAAGGTTAGGTAAGTTTTCTAAGATTCTTTTGGTGCAAAATTAAAATTTTTTACATTAATATTAATGAAAAAATATATCTTTAAACGTATAAGAGAAAATTTCAGAAAGGACTTAATTTTAAATGAGTTCTTGCTAATTGACCAGTTTTACATATTCGGCACGACATATATATATATATATATATATATATATATATATATATATAAAATATATATATATATATATATATATATATATATATATATATATATATATATATATATATGCAATAAGATCACAGTAAACAGGTGATTTCAAAATATGCAAAACAACCACTCTGAAAGAATAGAGAAATTCCAAGCGCTTTCGTGACTACTCACATTATCAAGGAACTATCATAGTTCCTTGATAATGTGAGTAGTCACGAAATCGCTTGGAATTTCTCTATTCTTTCAGAGTGGTTGTTTTGCATATATATATATATATATATATATATATATATATATATATATATATATATATATATATATATATATATATACATAACAACGACGATAGTTTCCTAACCAACAACCACGACAGTTTCTTAACAATCAACCATGATAGGGACCTACCCAATAACAACTACAGTTTCCTAACCAACAACCACGAGACCCGCACATCACCTACCTTAGCTTTCCACCAAGCAACTACCACTACTAATTTTTCAAGCATCTCGCTTAGCTTCTCTCCGTGTATCCTATATCTTCCTTCCCAGCACTTCCCATTGCTTCCTTCCCAGCACTTCCCATTGCTTCCTTCCCAGCACTTCCCACTGCACTGCTTCCTTCCTGGCATTTCTCACTGCTTCCTTCCCAGCACTTTCCACTGCACTGCTTCCTTCCCAGCATTTCTCACTGCTTCCTTCCCAGCACTTCCCACTGCTTCCCTACCAGCACATCTCGCTGCTTCCCTCCCAGCACTTCTCATAGTTTCCCTCCCAGTACTTCCTATAGTTTTCTTCCCAGCACTTCTTACTGCTTCCTTCCCAGTACTTCTCATGGCTCCCCTCCCAGCACTTCTCATAGCTTTCCTTCCCAGCACTTCCTATAGCTTCCCTCTAAGTACTTCCTATAGCTTCCCTCCCAGCACTTCGTATAGCTTCCCTCCCAACACATCCTATAGCCTCCCTCCCAGCACTTCTCATAGCTTTCCTCCCAGCACTTCTCACAGGTTCCTTCCCAGCACTTCTTACAGCTTCTCTCCCAGCACTAGTTATACATTCCATCCCAGCACATCCTATAGCCTCCCTCCCAGCACTTCCTATAGCTTCCCTCCCAGCACTTCCTATAGCTTCCCTCCCAGCACTTCCTATAGCTTCCCTCCCAGCACTCCCTATAGCTTTACTCCCAATACTTCTTATAGTTTCCCTCCCAGAACTTCCTATAGCTTCCCACCCGGCACCTCCAATAGCTTCCCTCCCAGCACTTCCTATAGCTTCCCTCCCAGCTCCTCTCATAGCTTACTTCTCAGCGCTTCCCATAACTTGCATTACAGCTTTTCCATCACTCAATCATCATCATCATCCATATTTCTTCTTTATCTTAATTCCATCGTTGTCGCTTTCCTGCCTTTCCCTTTTCAATCTTATCACTCTCTGCTTTGTTCCTTCTTTTGCCTACCTCTACTTATTCTTACCCTTTCTTTCCCTTAACACATTTCTTTCCTTGTCCCCTTCCCATAGTAACTTCCTTGTCCTTCCACGTACTCGTAAATAAATTTTTAGTGTTTTTAATGTTATTATTATTATTATTATTATTATTATTATTATTATTATTATTATTATTATTATTATTATTATTATTATTATTTATTATTATTATTATTATTATTATTTATTATTTTTATTTTATTATTATTATTATTATTATTATTATTATTATTATTATTATTATTATTATTATTATTATTATTATTATTTTACTGTTATTATTTATTTTATGTTCATTAATATTATTATTTTTATTATTATTATTATTATTGACAGGAGAAGTGTTAAACCCGTAAGAATCAAGCAGGGAATGGGGAAATGGTCAGGTCGAATTCCTGGCATCAAGATCCTTCTCTCACTCGCATCAAGGACCTCCCTCGAGGGAGTCTTCAATACAACATCGCTGCTGGCTTCTCTGCCTTTTTTAATTAAGGTAAAAGGAAGAGAAAGATTATTTGGGTAATGGCAGAGCCTCGAAGCTGAGGTGAAATATAAGAGAATGGTGCTTGACTTACGCTGAGTTTCGAGGTGGCGGGGAGACGAGGCCTGCAGCAGTACCGGGGTTTCCTCTCGGAACCTCCACCCGCAAGATCATTGTCACAATGTATGATTAAGAATTGAACACTGATACTTCTTTTTTGGGAGGAAGAGTGGGCGAGTTTTTTTTAGATGTATTTCTGACGCGAACAGCGATGAAAAAATGGGAGGAAGGAAGGTCACACTCTTGGAAAAGCACAACGGGGGACGCACTTTTTACACTCCATTGCGAATTTTGGAAGGGGTCGCATGGGGCATTAAGCGAGTCGATATATCCTGGGGGGGGGGGGAGGTCTCACTTTACCCTCCCGTCCAAACACAGACCCGTTTCTCTTACTCTACGGAAATACTTTTTCTACTCATTATTTTGGTTTCCCATTCCTTTCCTAACAAGAGCACTGAGCCATATTTGTTTCCTTCAAAACTGAAATATTTGAATACACTGCATCAGCAAACTCTTAGCCACTATTCATCATTGGAAATATTGCAAGCGCTTTGGCGATTGAGAGAATTGCGAAGCACATCCTTTCAGTGCAAATCTCTGAGTGACGGGAGATACTGGTGCGTAGGACGGGGAGAGAGTGTGTCGGGGAGAACCAACGGGAGGAGCCGGGAGGGGAAGAGAGAGAGGAGAGAGAGAGAGAAGGGGGGCGGGGAAGTGCTGAATTCCACGTGTTACCGGCGGCGAAGCTACGCCTCTACTGAGCATGGCTGCTCGCTGCGTCCTCCCTTACACTATGTGGACACTGCTACCCGCACGCTCACCCACCCCACCACCCGCCCACTCGCCCACCAACACGACCACCCACCCACCCCTTGTGATATGGTATAGCGGCTGGTTGTTGGAAGGAGGAAGGTGAGGTTGCTGTGAACATGTAATCTGGTGTGAGGATGTACTCGCATGTTAAGACGTACTGAGGATTCGTGTGTGAAGGGTGTGAGTTGTGTTAGTGAAACTCTGCCGGGGAGATGGGATGCTGTAGCGAAAGTGATAGTAAGATATGTGATGCTGCTGGTCCTACGATAGTGTGAAGTGTGTGAAATATGTGGTGATGTTGTTATGATGGTGTGAGATATGTGATGGTGCTGGTGTTAAGATAGTGTGAAGTGTGTGAGAAATGTGGTGTTGGTGTTAGGATTGTGTGAATAGTGTGAGGATTGTATAAATGATGGAGTGGCTTTGTGGGGGAGGTGAGTAATGTTGGTGTGAAGGAGGTGTAAGGGATCAGATGAGGGTGGCAAGAGAGTGTTAATGTTGTAATAAAGGTGATGTGAGGGAGAGGTAAGAGTGGTGTGAGTCACATAGCTTGCCAGGGTTTACCACCATCACTGTCGAGTTGTGATCTGGGAGATGAGCGTAGCTTGATACACACCTGCCTACCTTCATTGCCCATCACAGCTACACAATGTGAGGAGCTCTCAGGCATACCTAGGACGAGGGAAAGGCTTCGATTTTATTAAAAATATATTAAATATTCCTCAAATTCCGATGCTTACAGTTGTTGTCGTAGTTTTTTTGCTTCTTCCAAGGTGTCTATGGTATTGCTGGAGAATGTCTTTTCCGATAAGCTTCAAACTTTCGTCAGTGGTGTACTGCACTTTGAGTAAAGTTAGGATTATAAATGGACTGAGGTGCTCCAAGCGTTTCGTGAGTAGTCACGAAACGCTTGGAATTTCACTATTCTTTCACAGTGGTTGTTTTGCATATTGTGGAATCACCTGTTTACTGTGATCTTATTGCGCATATATATATCAGAGAGATGTTGTCTTGCCAGCTGTTCGGGATCGCTTCCCCAGTCTTTTTCCGTTCATTTCAGCCGGCTACAGCAAACCCTCAATTCTTTTGTTTGGAGAACATGAAATTCTCTCATCAGAAGGTGTTCAGCAGGGCGACCCACTCGCTCCACTTCTCTTCTGCTTGGCAGTAAGAGAACTAACTTCCAGCCTATGCAGCGAGCTCAACATCTGGTACCTGGATGATGACAGTCTGGCAGGTACTGAAGAGTTCCTGGTGGGGGACCTACAACTGGTGAATACACAGGGAGAAGACTTGGGACTCATCCTCAATCCCTCCAAGTGGGAAATCATTACGGCGAACCAGGAAATAATCAATGCTGTGCGAAGAATCCTCCCAGAAGTCTCTACTACCACTCCGTCCAACAGTACCCTCTTGGGAGCACCACTGGGTCACCAGGCCATCAACACTGACCTCAAGAACAAATGACCTGATGAGAATGGAGTAGAGAATAAGCAATCTTGATGCCCATGATGCTCTGTATCTCCTCACAAGGTGCCTTACTATTCCAAGACTCACTTACTTCCTGAGGTGTGCACCTTCTTTTGACAACCCAACACTCGACGAATATGACGCACACCTGAGGTCAACCTTTAAGAAGGCACTGAACCTGTCACTAGAGGATCAGCAATGGGATCAGGCAACCCTCCCAGGGCGACTAGGAGGTATAGGGGTGAGAAAAGCAACGCATGTTGCTTTACCTGCTTTTCTGTCTTCGTGTTTGGCTTCCAGTGCATTAGTCAAGAAGATTGTTCCCGAACGCTTGAGAGACGTGGGAGGAGCTCAAGACCCCAAGTTTACTGAAGCAGCGATTAGGTGGGACACCCTTACAGATTCCTCCAGTAGACCAGCTCCTCCCAAAGAACACAAACAGTCCCACTAGGACAAACCGATCATGAAAAAAATCGCCAACACAATGCTCTCCAACGCCTCAGGAAAGGACAAAGCTCGTCTCCTGGCAGTGAAGGCACCACACTCAGGAGATTTCCTGCTAGCTGTTCCCAATTCCTCCTTGGGCACTCGACTAGACCCACAGACCATTATGATTGGTGTTGCTCTTCTCCTAGCCTCCCCCATCCTCACCGAACATAGGTGTATTTGCAGCAGGGCGACAGCTGATCAATTCGGACTTCATGGTCTCGTGTGTCACACAGCAGAAGGGAAGTATGCCAGACATGATGAGGCCAGTGACATCATAAAGAGAAGCCTCGCCACAGCCCGTTGCCCAGCTCAACGGGAACCCCAAGTGCAAAGGTCTGACGGAAATCAAAAGTGTCCTGATGGAGCCACTATGCTACCTTGGAAGGATAAAAAGCAGATTGCCTGGGACTACATCTGTGCTGCCACATTGACAGACACCTACTTGCCATACTCCGTAGTGGAAGGGGGTGGAGCTGCCAGCCACAGGGAGACCCAGAAGATCCGCAAATATGAAGACCTTCCTCCTTGCTATAACTTCATCCCAATAGGGTCGGAGACCCTTGGAGCATGGCGCAAGTGTGCTCTAAAGTTCCTCAAAGAGCTGAGTGAAAAGCTCATCATAGAAACCAAGGACCACAGGGCTACCAACTTTCTCTTTCAGAGACTCAGTGTTGCGATCCAGAGAGGAAATGCCTGCAGCATTCTGGGCACGCGGCCCACCGCCGGGGAGCTGGACGAAGTATTCGAGATGTAGCTCTGAGTTACCTACGTTGTATTACTTTCTATTTTATCTTTGTGAATGTTTTGTCAATGTATTTTGTCTTTAAATAAAATATATATTAAAAATAGGAGGTGGTAGGAGAAAATTCTCAAACAGCTTCAGGGAGAACCTTGAGTTTTCCCTGAAGTAAGTTTATTCTTTTCTCTGAGGATGAGGGTCCCCAGGACAGTTCTAGAGGTGGTACCTCTCTCTCTCTCTCTCTCTCTCTCTTTATATATATATATATATATATATATATATATATATATATATATATATATATATATATATATATATATATATATATATATATATATATATATATATACATACATATATATACATATATATATACATATATATATACATTTAAAATTCTCAGAACAGGCGAAATATTCACAAACACTAATCTCTGGTGAATGGAGACTCGAACCTAAGATCGTTGGGACACGGTACGCAGTGCTCTAACCACCGTACCACAATGGACCAATACCTTGGCGTCCAGCCAATACTAGACGTTTTGATCTAAGGCAGCCAGCATTCAGACAAGTGGTGTGAGCAGAGGATGAGATGAAATAGCTAACACCACCTGCCTGAATGCGGGCAGCCTTGGATCAAAACGTCTAGCATTGGCTGGACGCCAAGGTATTGGTCCAGTACCTACGTACCATGTCTCTAACTGAATATTAGAGATAAAAAAAATACAGATTGTAGTGGTGAATTTACTACCGAGATTTAATACGCTGAGTTCAGTAGTGAGTTGACTAACTTGTATATTAATACGCAGGGGTTACCAGTGAGTTGACTATTTAGAGTAATACAATGGGCGCAGTAGTTAATTAACCAGCTTATACCTCAACAGGCTGATTGCACTAGTGACTTGCCTAGCTTGTGATTTAAGAAGCTGAGTGGGTTAGTGAGTTGACTAGATTTTGGTTCAGCAGACATTACTTTCTGTCTGCGTTAACTCCTATTGTTTTAATTCAATAAACAAAGTTAACGTCTTCTCTTTTACGTCATTAAGGAATCTTTCCGACAACTTCAAAACGGTTCTTCTGACTGGCTTCACACTTCACACTTTCAAATTCAGCGAACCTTTTCGAAGGTCAGAAACGTTATTTGGATGAGCAGATGCCAGTTTGTCCATTTTGCATACCAAAATTTGGTATTTTTTTTTTTTTTTTTGGCTCAGTAACATAAGAATGTCTTTTCTGATCGATTTGACACTTTCAAGCTGATTTACTCTACTTTAGTGGAGAGGTTCTGATTAATATTAGACTATACTGGCCCACTTTAGTATTTTCTGAGTAACTGTGATATTATTTTCTGTTAAACAACTTTGTGAATGCCTGTTCTGATCGGCTTGAAACCTACAACTAAGTTGCGTGGTACTAATATGAAGATTTCATTGTTTTAACAAAATTGTTAACTTCTTAACATCAATAAAATGGGGGGGGGGAATTATTGATTCCCCTGTGATAACTAAGTGGATCGTAGTCTATTTGGGTTGTATACATTTCGATTTGCCAATTTTATTGAATTATTATTATTATTATTATTATTATTATTATTATTATTATTATAATCAAGGGGGAAGCGCTAAACCCGGAGGATTATACAGCGCCTGGGGGGAGGGGGGATGTGGAAGGCATTCAGGCTTAATTCGGGGAACTGGAGCACAGATCCAATTCCCTATATCAAGAGCCCCTCACCAACATCAAGGAACCTTCCTTGAGGGGAATTTTATTGAAGAAATTCAGTTATAGGATCTGGAAGATTTCTTGAGATTGACCTTCTTTGGGATTCAAACTTTCATTGCTGCTAATG